CGAATATTTAAAAATTTCATTTGGATGTCGGAGATTGAAAGTGTTGGAAGTAAACGCTTAAGTTGTGTAATTCTTGCATATCATTGTATAATTTGTAATGTAATATTCTTTATATATTATCACTGTCGGCATCGCATTACTATGCTAGTTCATTTCTTCATCTCATGGAGATATTTTTTTTTAATTCGAAATGATAAAGTTGATGATTGATTATACAAATGTAATTAAGAATAGATTATTTTTAATATTGAACAAAATAAAATTAATTTATGCGATGGTTTCACATAAATTTAATTGAATAAATCAGAAACATTAACAAATCATTTAAAGTACGATTTAATAATACAATTAAAGTAAATCAATTATAGATATCTATATAGGTACATTAATAACTAAAATTCGTTATTGAAAGGGACAGCACATTTGCACATACAAACGTGTTCAGATATTTGATCAAGTTGTACACTTACGTATGCTGAATTATGCAATTTGCGAATACATATGCATAGACGCGCAAGTATAGAAACACTTTATATGAGAACGCGATCCCATAACTGCCTCGTCTCATACAGTGTTGTGTCACCTACCGTGACTTGACCTACTTTAACTGACTGTGCCAACAGAAAACTACTTTTTTTCTTTAAGTTATCTTTTCATTTTTACATCCTTTCATCCGTTAAAATACACTATTAATTTAAAAATGGCTTATATGCAATTCACTTTTATGAAGTTTGTCTAAAAATTTATAGAGATACAAAAATTTTGTATACAATAGAATATACCAAAATATGTTTTACCTATTTATGCATTATTAATCTTTACATATTCGTAATTCGTGAGAATTTATACACTTTCGTTATTAATTATTATATTCAAATATTAAATAATCATTAGCGTATATAGTATAACTATATATTAAATATTTATATGATTAATCTAAAGTACGCGTATAAATATATTATATATAATGTAAAAAATCATATAACATTAATTATAAATAATGTTAATATAATTTGCATTTTAATTATTTAATCATGCAATTATTAAAAATTAGATATTTAAACAAAAATGAAATCGATAAATCCAATCTTTAATTTATTCTTTACAAACAGTTTCAATGTTGCACAATTGGAAATATTAAGTAACTTATACAAATATATTCTTTCTTAGTTATTATTCTTTTTGATAATTACTTAATATATTATATGCACATTTCAATATTAATATTTTCAAGGACATAATTTTTGTTCTAGTTTCATATTTTATTATAATATAATTTTATTAATATCTTATTAATATCCTTGGTATATATATTAATATTATATTTATTAATATCCTCGGTACAGTTACCTTACAATATCTAAATTATTTGAATATATTTGAATTTTGTCAATACAATTTCAATATTTCGATATGCTATTATTTTGAGAAATATGTAATCTTATATGAATTGTAAATTACACAGACTTATTATGTATTTACTATCAATCTATTTGAAAAATTTTTTAGAAATTGAGAAACATAAATTATTTATAACAATGAAATTGATTGAAGTTTCTTATACTTAATCAATTTTTTTTCAACATATATTTCGATCTATACGATTAAATTTTAAAACAATGACTTTTACGGCTTATTCATCATTCAACTGCATAAAGAGTATTTTAATAATTACTATCAAAAATTAATTTTTGTCTTTCATATTTTTTACCTGTGTATATCAATTTACAACGTCTATATTACGTCAGATTTCGGTAATAACATTTAGAGTTTTTAAGATATATACAAACTTTTTACAATAGAATTCAATTCACAATTAACGAATAAAATAGAATTTAGTTTCTATCAAAATTAAATAATACAAATAATTTTATAATATTTTAAATCTTAAAATTTTCATTTTAAACATTTTATTTAGTTAAAATTCAGTTTAATATTATCTTTTTCTAACAATACTATTTTAAAACATCATACTGAAAAAATTTTAAATAAAAATTATAATCTACTTTTAACTCATTTACACAAATTATAAAAGATATTCTTACTTATTATCTTACTCTTTAATACATATTTTTCATATTCTCCACTAATTTTATAAATGACCTACGGAGTTTTAACAAATAATTAAAAATAAAAGATTTTTATGGAGCTTTAATTTTTTCCAGCACTTAATTTATGCCTTAAATAAATATGATCGTTTGTACAGAATCAACATCATTATAACTATCATATAATCTGTAGTAAGATAATATGTAGATTTTATTAGTGTAAATAGACGTAATCTAGAAATCAAATCATTTATTCATAGATGGTACATGTAATTTTTTTAACAAAGCTTATTTGATATATCCTTAAAAATTACTTAATAATTATAATAAATACAATAAATATAATTCCTATAATATTCATTCTCATGAATTTTTAAAATACATAAAATACATAAAATACAAATTTTCTCTTAATTAACAAAGTCTTTTAGAAACTGTTTACAAATTATTATATTGATAAAAGTTAAATAATTCTTAAGAAAATATTATGAAAATATTAATTATCATGTTTTGCAAATAAATAGATATGAAGTAATAAAGGTATAAATAAATAATAATAAATAAATAAGTATAAAAAAATGAATAAAAATAATTACGATTTTATATCTTCAAATAATTTTTAATTATAAAATTAAATTAAAACTTTTGATAATAGTTTATTAATGTTTTAGTTTGATAAATGAACTTATGTTTTTTTGAGTATTTTAAAATTATTTTATAAATTCCTTTCTTTAATGGATTCCTAAAAAATTAATTTTCTTTATTTAAAATTGATGAAGTTAAACTAATTGATTTAATATAGACAAATACTTTAAAAATTATATTTATATTTCATAAAATAAAGACGAATAGCACAAATGTGAGATATAAAATATAAAATATTTTGAATGGTTTTATAAATTGTATAATAATTAAGGTAAACCAATGATATTTAATTAAATATATATATCGCGCAATTAAAAACAGTTGTATATATATTCAAAATTTTTAATATCTTATCATTGTAGTATTTTAATATTTAAAAATGAAAAATAGAATTTTAATTTTTATAAATTTATGAAAATATGTACACACTTGTCATTATAAATTATTTTATGTTGGTATTATTCATACTACATTGATTATTGAATCTTTTGCCCATATAATCTATGACGGTTTGAAACGTGACAATTCTGCAAACAATTATCCAAACGTGACAACTGTAATAGATTTTTTTTCGATTAAAATTTGACAGCAAGTATTCCAAAGTTTTTAATTGTTTACCATGTCCATGCTTTGTTAATTTTAGTAATAAATTATAATGTAGAACAAAAAATACAGGTCACTATGGAATCAAAAGTAAAGGGTTATACAGCATTCGACAAAAAAATTATATAAAAAAAATTTGAAAACTTCGATTTTGATTTTTGATATATTCGTATATACAATATTTTATATCGTATGCGTAAACAAATTTTATACGTATATACGATACGTATATTTTGTAAATCGTAAAAATACTATAATACAAAACAAATCTTAATATTAATATTAAATATTACATTTTGAATTATGCTTTAAACTGGAATGAATTAAATTAATGAAATTTATAATATTTCATATACAAGTGATAAAACTTATATTGTAACATACGATTAACTAATAATTATCATAATTATTATATATGATAGTTAATCAAAATTATAAATATTTTTTTTCTTAACGCAATGTTCTATTTTCAATTTCATTTTCTATTCCGAATGGAATACTAGTAATCGCTGAAAGAGGGAGAGAGAGATTATATAAAATCTAAAAAAACTATAAGTTAAATTTTACCGTCAGTAACGGTCGGGGATGATTGTTAGTGATCGTCAATTTATTATCTAGCTGTATGTGCAAACACGCGGAGTGTGTACCCCGGCAGCGGTGGCGACAGCAGTAAAGTAAATATCATGAGGATTGAGAAACCAAAAGTGCAAGGGAAGACAAAGAGAGAACAAGAGCAACCTGGAGAAGCTGTGACAGCAGGGAGCAACATTGAAACCAGTGTGACGATAGAAATTTACAAAAACGTTAAACCAAGGACAAGATATAGAGCGAGCGGAACAAGAAACACTCGCTTGACTTGGAGAGTATACCTATTGGTATATGTTGTTGCGAATAGTTGAAGAGGCAGGGGCGTTTGATCCGATCCGCGTTAAGCAGTGTTAAGTGAAGTGGCCTACAGACCTACATTTGTCTAACATTCGATTTTTTCTCCCTTATGTTGTTGTATATATCCATGACAATAGCAGTCGAGTCTGTCAAGTAATAGTACCACTAAAGAAATAGCAAGCGAATGAGACAGCACTTACCAGTTATTGAAAAAGAAAAGGCGTTAGCGTGAAGACGCACCTAGAAATTAGTGTTTAAAAACGAGGAAGGAACCTTGGCTAAAAGTAAACAGCGACGTCGTTACTGTTTTGCAGACACAATGATGCTGATTATAATGATAAATGCCGCTGAAATAAAAAGGCGGATATCTTTGTAAAACAGAGAATATTGACCGTGGAAGATTAAGAAAGAAAGGTGATAGACAACACCGTAACCAATAGCAGCAACTTTGTTGAGAGTGAGAGAGAGTGAGTTTGAGGGGTGAAGGAGAGAGGAACGACACACTCTCTCTTTCTGCTCTCATGAGGTGCGTGTTTTCAGGCACACACACAACATACGCATACGCATTCACGCACTGTGCATGCATAGCCAATCACCCACCTACCCATCGTAAGCCTGCACAATCCTACACACCTAGAATAGCACGTAGGATAATTATCAGACTATTTTTATTAACCAAAGTTTTTTAGTGCGCGTTTTGCTACTTTTTTTATATATATTATATATTATGTATGTGTGTCATGAGAAAAGAATATTTAAAATACGATTTATCAATTAAATTTTTCATTTATTTTTTTAACAGTCTTCTTTGTACTGCTCTATACTATTATATTAAGTCGTTTTTTTTTATCTGGAATACTCAAAATAAAGTGATATGTACATATAGACTTATAAAACAAGAAACAAAGCCTTTGAAAGCATTGAAGCCAAGGGTTAAGTGCATTATTCTAATAGTATATTTCAGTTGAATTGTTGACATTGTGAAAAATATATTGAATTGTTTTTTTATAAGATACGCAAAAGTAGAATGGCAACATTTTTGAACAATAATAATGATGCCACTATTAATATTCAAAGTTCTGAAGTAGTTTTAGAGAGTACCAGCACTGCAGCCAGCACTGCTGTATTATTGGGTAGTGAAGTCAGTACGAATAGTCTTGAGTTGGCTCCACAGCAACAGCAGCAGACCATAGACATGTCATCTGAAGTGACTACTGCTGGGAAAATCGTCTCAGGTAACCTCAAAATCAACTTGCCCACTCTATTCTCAATGCCTGAAGCGGCAATTCGGTACATGCGTACGTATGTCGGCATTGGTACAGGAACAATACACGCGGCCTACGTAAGCGTTTGATCCGAAATATACAAATATATATCTTTTTCATATATGCATGTGTGCAGTATTATTTTGACTGGTTCTTTGCGTCACCAGTAATGCTTATATATTGCCGAACTGTTACTATTGCTGCGTGCGTTCGACTGAATTTCGTTTACTAAAAAATGTGATGTTTTATTTAACAAGTTACATTATTTACCTCTTTCCCCTTCTCATTATACTTTATCTTTAACTTACTTGATAATATAGTCTACATTTTTTATTCTTTCTCGATTTGACTGGCTCCTTGTTTCATATCATTCCTTTCTTTCTCATAACTATGCACGGATATATGTGCATGTTGAATCACATATGCATTTATATACTAATTTTTTAACATTTTTAAACAGTCCACGATATAAGTAATTTTATTTTCTCTTTTTTTTGCTTCTTTTTTTTAAGGTCAATTTATGCTTTCGTCTTTTTTAATATTTTCGGTATGCGAAGTAGTACCTGAACAAATCTTTGAAAACTTAAAAGAGTTTCAATAATTTTTTAATTAATGTTTGAGTGAGCGATGGGTTATATTTGCATGTCTGATTTTATTTTTCCCAAGTTTATAATTATCTGTAAACATAAATCCTTTGATAATTATTCTTTGCTAAATATTTTGAACTTACATTCTCTACATGCATTAAAAAATTATAATCAAATAAATATTTTCTACAAATACAATTATTTTTACAGAAAATAATAATATGTTAAATATATTATGTTGCAATAACAATAGCGTTGAACATAATAGTATAATTAATAATAAAAAAAAATTAGGTACTATCTGCAAATAAAAATTTAATTTTTATCCTGGATTTTGATTTATTATGCATGAATGAGCGACACAACAATGAAAACAGCTATTTATGTAGTATATATATTCAACAGTAGCATATACAATTATGAACTACAGTAATAAACTTTAACAAATTAAATTATGCCTTAATGATAATAAATTAATGCAATCATTCCTATTAAATTTTTATTTATCTTTCGAGAAAATAAGTTTATCATAAATACAAATATAATGTTTCTTAAATTAATAAATATTTTATGAAGTGTTGCCTATTAACACGTAATTAATAACATGAATATAATTTCATATTTTATACTATGAATTTATAATTGAATTATTAAAAAATAAAACTTTTTCTTTTGTTTTCACCAGTTGGTGTTCTCTTTTTTTATTATCACCAAAATAACATATTTATCCTTCAATATTGGAAAATAATTCAATATTATAATGAAATGAACAATTATTTTTAAATATCACTAACAAAGTATTCTACTTTCTTTTCTACAATCGAAAACTCAAACGTGTTTTGTAACTTAAATAATGAAAATGCTATTTGTATGATACAAAAACAGTATAGAACTTTGTTGCAAAATATATTGCGTCATTACATGATAATTATTTTTTACAGCGTAACGTTAAAATTGAGACTTAGATATATTTGCAAGTTTCCTTTGTCAAGATGATAAACATCAATGTGTTTATGTTATGTGTTAAAATACCATTTTCGATTACACGAGAATTTAATATACTTTGTAAAAAATACATCTACTTTATGTCACTGAATAGAATATCATTTATTTGTAAATGCGAACATCAAATATATTTTATGATACATTGATTTTAATTTTATTGTGTTTTTTTAATATAAATAAGTAATAAATTATGAAAAATTGTTTGCAATTTAATTAATTGCAACGCAGTCATTTAATATTGAAGATATGAAATATATTCTAAAGACAAAATAGTTTTTCATAAGTTATATATTTTATTTATTATGAATGTATAACATAGTAAAATTAATTTTTTTAATTAATAATATTCTCATATTTTAAACACATATTTAGTTATTTTTTATATGATTTTATATTTTTAGTTAATTAGATCAAATAATAAAATTTGTATAAAAAAGTGATTGTAGATTTAAATATTTGAAAAATATTTACGGAGAATATTTAAATATAAGATATCAATTTAATATTAAATTGTCTATAATATTAAATTGAGAGGTGTATTTTTAAATGGCATTAATTTTATCGTCTATGAATGTATAGTTTTATTGTAAAATTTCAAAAATACAAAAAATGCAAATTATAACATTGTTCTTCATCTGTTAAATTAATTTTTTGCTAAAAAAAGCGACTTTTTACAATCTTGTTCAACCTTTATCAAACAATTATACACATTTTCCACATTTTTTAATTTCTTTTTTAAAGTTTTTAACTAACTGTTTACAATTAAAAAAACATTACAATTCAATAATTTTAAGATTTTTTGGCATAAACTTAACAGCATCATACTAGATCAGAATTTTGGTATTGAAATTTTTTATTATTTATAGTATATTATTTAATATTCATAAATTTTGTGAGTATATTTATTTTATATATACCTTACTATTTTTATTGTCTAACTAGATCATTATTAACATAACGAAAATAAAAAGTGATTGTAATTATCGTTGAAATTTGTGCTTCATTTTAATAACGTGGTAATAATGTATAAAGTATATATAAAGTATGTATAAAATTATTGTATATAAAGTAGACATTTCTTTTATCATTAGTTAATTCATATAGTTCTAAATTACCACATATATTTTTATAATGCATGTTTATAATTTATATTCACATATATATTTGGCTCCACATATATTTTTATAATGCATATTTATAATTATATATAATAAAATCTATCATTCTTATTATATCTCTAATTATCGGGTAATGTTAATTTCGCGTTGTATTACATGTGGATTTAGAATACATGCGGTTGACATTATATGCTACTAGCAGTAGCACCGATTTGATCTTACTAATAAGTAAGTACGTTATTTGCGAATTAATAGTAAGGATTAATAATAAGAGTAACGAGATGTTGTATTTATATGTTTTTGATTTCAAGACAAATGTTCTTTATTTCAATAATAGGTTTGTTAAATGGTAAATAGATTTTTTTATATAACTAATCTTTAATAATATATGAATTGTTGACAAATTCTACAGATAGAATTAAAAATGTTTTTAATAATTTAAATTTAAAAATAGTGATGTATATTACGCAACGTAATCTACAATAGTAAAGAGATTTTAAACATGCAATCATTTAAATGCTTAATTAGATCTAACATGATTTTCATCGTTTCAATTTTAATACTTGTAAATATTTTTATATTGAAATCAAATTTAAATTAAAACAAATTTAAATACAATTTCTTACTACATCTAATTTATGAAATACTAATATAGATAATAAACTACAATTTTCGAATTGATTAATCAGGATTATTCAGCAAATAAATTGCTATATTTTTATATGGATCAAATGATTTTTAAAATTAAATTTTTTTTAATTTGTTATGTATCTATTACATGTTATAAAGTTTATTATTAAATATACAATTTAAAGTTGAGTACCAGTATGTCTTAATAGATCTGTCTCAATGTAAGTATTATTAAATTTTACTTAGTAAAGTTCTAAAATGAAATAATTTATAATATTTTGTATAGTTATGTAAAATATTTTTTTATTATTATTACAATTCAATTGAAATAATTTTGTTAATATCTTTAAATTTTAAATAAGTAAATATATTTTTATTGAATAATAACTATTTTGTATGAATGCTAGGTTTTTCATTTACAGTCTGCAGTTATTTCTTTAATTTTTATTGTTAATAAAAAGCTAGCGTTACTAGTGAATTATATAAAAACCATCCAACGTTTATGAGCACAAAGTGTTTTTACATATCCATCGGTTTTAGAATATACAGGTAGTTGTAAACCATTTATATACAAAAACTGATTTGTTTTGATAAACTAAATGAATGATAAATTTTGATAAACTAAATGATAAACTTAATGAAATAAATAATTAGAGACAAATTTTATTATTATTCCACATGTTCAAATTAATCTTAATATCAATTAATATCGTTACATTTATGTCATATGTGATAACAATAGTAGTCTTTGCATGGTAGTAATTGTGGCTTCTAAAAAGATTTAAAAAATGAAGCCTGACTGATTTTAGCATGAATACTCTTGTGTGAGTTTGAAGAATATATAAACTCTTAATATATCAATATTTAATATTTAAGGATAGTTATTAATATTAATGCCTTTATGAAGGTCAGCTTGATAAAAAGACTAAATAATTTTTCAAAGTGAATAAGCAAATTAAGTATTTTGCAACTAAATTTTCAGAATAAAATCGTGTCGAATGACATAAGCATTATCATAGATAAGACGATAAGAATATGTTTGCTACCGGAAATTGTATTTCAGATTAACATTGAATACCTGCATGTATGATTGTGTTCTATTCTGCATTAAGAAAACCTGTAGGTTAATGAAAACAGAAAAGGTTTTGACGATTTTGTCGATTATAATTCGATAATGTGATATAAGTTTTTGTACAAATTAATATAAAGTTGTAAATAGCACGGAATAGAATAGTTGTAAGTTTTAAAAAAATAAGAGTTTAGTATAGTTTGTATAAATTGATTATAATATGTAAGACAAATAAGTAAATATAATAAAACTATGAAAATGTATATCATAAATAGCTATACTATTTAAAGTTATACACTATTAAACGGAAACGATAAAAGGTATTTAGATTGAATGCTGTTTGAAATTAGATATTGATCATGTGATGATGGTAAATGTAAGTATATAGAATAGGTATAATCACTATAAATTCATACTAATATATGATTAAAGTACAAAAGTAAAACACTAACATTTTGTAAATATAAGAAACTATGGACAGAATTTTTATGTGTGTAGAAATAAATTTAAAACCGTACCACTTAATTAATAAATTCATAATAACGAAATCCAAAAATTAATTTTTACTGATAAAAATGTAAAATCTAAATTGATGGGCATATTAATAAGCATGCAATACCTGTAGATCATAATCCAAATAAATAAACTTATAGTTTTATCAAAATATATATTGAATAAATTATGAGGCTATATATAGGACCTATAATTAATGTGATTCAATAGTGAATGTATAAGCGGCTGTTTGAATTAGGACCTCTTTTCATAAGTTTGATAAAAGCGTAGGTGTTAACACTATCTACAGCCTAAAAATTCTTATTTAATATAGATAGGGTGGAAGGAATTGATATCATATACATGTGTCCAATATCCTCGGAAAATGAACAAAAAATTTATTAAATGTGTAAGGTATGAAAGTTAGATACAATAATAAATTACCTC